CCCCCACGCTCTCTCGCTGCCACTCCACTCCCACCCCCTCCTGTTATCGACCGGAGGCTGGAGCCTGGAGGCCGCATCCTGATCTTGCAGCCATCAAGAAGAGCCGCTGGTTTCTCCCCCGCTCCCCAGCCAGACCAAGAATAGCCATCTGCCGCGGTAATTAAGGCCCAAATCAAATGAGACTGAGGGAGGGGAGACACGGAGAGAGACGGGCAGAGAATATAGGCCTGGGTGGCTGGGGAGCGAAGGGAAAAGAAGAGCTTGGATGATGCAGTGGGTGGCTGGATGCTGCTCTGCTGCAGGCGACTGGGATGGGATCCCTGTCCTCTGCCACTGGCCCCCTGTATGGCCTTGCCCCTGTCACTTAAACCCCTTATATTTGTTCAGCGCTGCCTTGAAGCCCCCGGAAATGAAGTGCCTCTCAGTGTGGGTCTGTGAAATGCTCGGTGTTGTACGGACCCCCCCAGGCTGGCATTGGGGGTGGGGGGTGCTGGGTGCTCTATGGGCTGAGATCAGGGGGTGCCAGGTGCTATATGGACCCCCCGGGGTGGGATCAGGGGCTGCTGTATGGAGCCCTCAGGCTGGGACTGGGGAGCACTGCGTGCTGTACGACCCCCCGGCTAGGATTTGGGGGTGCCAGGCTCCATATGGACCCCCAGACCGGGATCGGGGGGTGCCAGGTGCTGTACACACCCCCACTCTGGCTCTTTCAGATCAGCCGCGCTGTAAAGAAGGCAGCATGGGGGTACTGAGGCAGGCCAGTGCCGAGGGCATGCTGTCTCACCCTGATGCCTGTGCATTCTGGGGCCCTGCCTGGATGGTTTTAGGTACCCAAGGGGGCTAGAGAAGTCATTATACAGACGCTGCTGCCTTTGCTATCTACTCCACTGACTTGCACCCCGTACTTGCCTTCTCCCTCCCACCCCCAATAGCAGGGGCTGCAAAACTGGGCAATTGCTCTGGAAAGAGGGACCTAATTCTGGTTGGGTTAGAAGGAAACATCCTTTTCTTTTCCTTCTGCCTCCCAGAAACCAGCTGAGGGTGTGTGGTATGCATGTAAATACAGTACAAGGGCTCTTACGTGAGATCTCTCTCCCTGGATCCCACAGAGATGGTTCCATACTGGTCCCCAGTAACAAGAACCAGCTCAGTCTGGTAAAGGAACTGGGCTGGGTCCAGCAGAAACGCAAGGGACTTTGTGGCTGGCAAAGAGAGGGAGGGCAGTCCGGCTGCCCAGATCCCAGCTCCTATCTCAAGTGGATCCCTGGGAATTGGCTTGATGCCAGGATCCCACCCCAGATCCCCCAGTCCTCCGGGCACCTCCCAGACCCCGGGCAACATTGAGGCAGGCTGGAGGGGTCACTCCATTGGCTCGGGGTCACTCCGCCTGTGATTTATGGGGGCCCCCCAGTTCCCCGTGCCATGGCAATGGGGAATCCACTGGGGGGGTTAACCCCTCCCTACCCAGAGGGATCTTTAAATAAAGCAGCCAGGAAAGGATCTGTGGGCGGCGGCAGGTGGGCGCTGGGATGGTGTTGGGGGGCAGGGGGATGATTCTGGAGGCCAGGTGCTCGGATGTAGAGCCCCGGTGTCCTGGCTACTGTCCCGAGCTGCTAGATCCCGCCCCAGCCCGTGGCACCTCGCCTCCCAGATCTGGTGACAGATCCCAGGCGTCCTGGCAGCTGCGACCCACTGGACTCCTCCACTCCCCTCTCGCAGCTGGGGAGGACCCAGGTGTCCGGGCTCTCATCCTGTCCTGCTCTAACCCATGAGCCCCGCTTCCCACCCAGAGCTGGAGAGAAGCCGGGCGTCGGGCCCCAGCCGGCTGCCCGCTCCGTGCAGGTGCCCGCGTCCCCAGCCTGTTGCTTCTACCGCTCGCACGGAGTCCACGCCATCCAGCCTGGATGAAACCCAGGCTTCCTGCCTCTGCCCCTGCCCGGAGCTGAGGGGCAACAACCCAGGCATCCGGGGGGCAGCTGGCCGGGGTCCGTGAGCCCCACTCCCCAGGTTCTGCCCCTCCAGGGGAGCCAGTGGTGCCTCTCTTATCCACCTGCCCCACCTCCTACCCCTCCAGGAGCTGCTTCTCCCCACCACCCCCTGATTTTTTTACCCCCCCCGCACTTACCCCCCAAAGCTCTGAGGAATGGATCTCCATGCCGC